TTTTTTTCCGTTGTGCTGAGTAAATTACACTCCTAATAGCGAATCGTAGTCATGAGTTACCGCCAACATCTGCTTGTACTGTTGCACCTGCGTATTTGTCCCTGTCGTGGCAATGTTTGCAGAATAAGTACTTCACTAGAACATTATCGAAACTGGTGTCGAAGCTGTTCGGTTTTTCGGTAATGGTAGGCCGTGACGACGAGCGACCCCGATCGGTGGCCAGTAATTAGGGCACCTATGGCTCGGACTCGCTCTTGTACGATTTTCGGCGTCGGGTTCTAGTTATAGATGAAACAATGTGCGCTGCTGTTTTTTTTTCTGTTTCCGCGACGACCTCGATGGCGGCGCGTCCTCCATTTGCAGCGCGATTGCGCGGAGAAATTTCGGCTCAACCGCGAGAACGTCTTAACACACGTATCTACACTGGACGAGCTAAAGACGAGATTGCATCATGCGACACCTTTTCGAGAAACTGAAACTGAATCGTAGTGGTTTGTGAAATCTCGCTTTTCTTCATCGATATACGTTGTAAAGATTGAGAATTACGTGGAGAGATAGGCACACAACTGCAGCAGGCAAAAACTTTGCGAAAAAGTTCTATATAAGGAATGCGTTTTTGGTCGATGTGACCTTTTAGGTCGAGCTTTATGCCAGTTTGTTGAGAATCAGACGCTGATTCCAAGTGTCTTCTTGGTATCTGCTGCGCTCCTCTGGACGCCGACTTATGGGCGTTCTTTGGAATTTTAATTTGGATAAAATCAGTCATTGTGGTCCCTTCAGCGCTCAAATAAAGCAGCGGCGAGTGTGAGTATAATGCTTAGATACTCATGCATAAAGTGCCTCAATATGCAACTCTAGTCCATAAGCGGTTTTTAATGATTTCGCTCTAGTTACGCTTCATTTTCGGCTCCAAACGCTCATATGGAGGTACAGAGGAGCTCAGCAGATACCGAAAGCCCCTTAGGTACTATATAGAGTCCATCTCGAAAAGCCACTTCTATTGAGTATGCGTTCCTTGTAAGTTTGTTTCAGAGATGCAATACTTGTATTTCACGGAAAGGTTTGCAAATCGCATCTGAGATGTGCTTATTTTGTGAAAAGTCTTTCACTCTCACCCTCATACAGCTAGAGCTGAGAAAAAAAAAGCGCAAGTGAGACCTCCGCGGAACTCTTCAGTCGCACGGTGTTTTGAAAGGAACAGCAATTGCAAAAATTCCGATCACATTGTGAGAGAAATTATGTGGTGTTATTCAGCACAAAACAAAGCTTATGATATCCATAAAAGTAAAATGGTCATATACCACCGAGGAAAAATTTAATCTTTCGAAAGCGTGACTACACACTCATGCGCTCAGGTCTTATCTAAGTTGTAAACCGCTACTTCAGAGAGAAAACCTGCTGCTAGTTCTAGTGTCAGGCAATTTCGTCCGACCTAATTATCATCTATGTTTATACTGTCTTTGTTGAAAATTCTAACGGACAATTTAACTAACAGTCATTCTAAAATTGTTCAGCGACTGAATTATAGGCTTGGGCAGACGCATTCCGTGGACATCCTGATCTTCAAGGAGTCGTACAAGTTTACGAAGAGCTTGTCAGTAAAGGCGTCACGTTCCCACCAACTGATCTAGATGCAATGGCACCAATTTTAACTCCAAAGCAGGTGTGTTTTGCATTTGTCCGACATTTTAAGAAAAATCTTTGCGTTTCGATGTTGTTTGGTGGTTGATTTTTGAGCCGGAAGTTGGAGGATTCTCTCTCAGAACTTTGGTTGCTTTTGTGTGCTGCATGTTTTTCTTGCCAGTTTTGAATCTCGAAAGAGCGATTTGGACATCGAAGCTTTGATGTTTACGGCACACCAGAGGTCAAATGCAGACAGAAATATGGACAAGCAGTGTCAAGCCTTCTGAAAATGTAGCAGATTCAGTGTGTAGTGTTGATTGTGATGTGTTGTAGACGGTCTTCACTGAGCCGAAAGCATCGACGGCTCTTACGCCGCAATCAGCTGGGTCACCAGTAGGTTATATGAATCGTCTTTCCATGGTATACCCTTCCATTGTCTATATGGTTTCTTTTAGAGCTACGACGTGGTGAGTCAGCCAGAAGGCCCGATTACTGCCTCGGCGGAGCAACTAGCAAAACTTCGATCTGATCTCGATGTGGTCAATTCGAATCTGAAGGTAGTTTTTCTACAGTAGTTTCTGATACCTTCTACAGTTTCACAGTTTCTTTCCTGAATCTGATTATATAGGTGTTCCGCGAGATGCTCACTGAAATAACACCTGGTCGTGAAACAGCGGATGAATTGCAATTGCTAAAAGAATTGCACGCGACTTGCAAACAAATGCAGCTACGAATACTTGATTTGATTCGAACCGTAGGAAACGAAGAAGTAACTTGTAAGTCCGCTCATGTGTGTTATACGTTT